AAAAGGGGGGGGGGGGAGAACCCTTAAAATGGAAGCCACAGATTTTTAAATAATCTCAGAAGTGGTACCTGCCATCTCCTATTGGTCACACAGACTAACCGTCATACACTGTGCTAGGGGACTACACAAGGGTGTGAATATAAGGAGGCAGGGGTTATTAGGGACCAACTTGGAAGCTGGCTACCTCAGCGAGGCCTTTCTTTACTTCTCCCTGTCCTTCAGCAAACCACTAAGTCCCTCTGATTCTTCCTCTGCAGTGTTCCTCAGATATGGCCTTGTCTCAAATCTGATTGTTTCTTCTGGAAAGAGGTATCTAGCATGGCCTCCAACCCAACCTGTTAGGGCGAAGGACAGCAGACCTTGGCAAGCCAATATTTTGGGGAGGATTTTTTCTCTATGCAGAGAAGGGGAGACTGAAACACCAGAGTAATCCTAAGGAAATGAGGTGCTGAGCACAACAGCAAGAGAGCACAGATACTTTAGACTTGACCTGAGCACCCTAGGACTTCAGACCATGATATGGGACTGCTCCCCTTTGCCTGAAACAGAGAAAGTCTTAGGACATCTGTAGACAAGAGCCTGCCATTTTCCTGTGAGCATCACAAATAAGTTTAACTTCACAAGTGTACTTAGATTGGAAGTGGCTTCCTAGAGCTCTTGAACTGAGAAAAACTGTGGGATCCATCCTGTTCAGTGAGAAAGCAAGCCTTGATCTCAAGGTCTGCTGCCATTGCCAGAGGAAGCAAGAGTCATGCCTGCCATTTGGCAACTGGGAATACACCTTGTTTCCACTGACAATACTCACTTTTCTTTTTTGGGACTCTTCTCTAAGATGGGCTTTTGGAAAAAAACAAAACACTTAATAGATAGAATGATCAGAACTAGGCATGCTTGACCCAGCCTAGTTAGGCTACTTGAGCTGCTGTAGCATACCTCTCACCACATACCCACCCCCACCAGCCCTACCTGGGAGAGGCAACTCATTGGGTTCTTAAACAGCCTTAGGCAGGACAGTTAAATAAGGCTCATTGGAACTGATGGGAGATTCTGGATCTTCCATGAAATTTTGTTCTTGGATCTATAAACTTGGAATACAGAATCATAGGTATATGGACGAGAACAGAAAGTGGAGGTCACCAACCTGTGTTCCATCCCCATTTTACATGTGACTCAGGTCAAGGAGCTTTTCCATAGTCATTTAATCAGAAACCCAGGCAGGAATAAAGTCTGAATTTCTGATCTTTCCCTGTTCCCTGTCAAACCTGTGAGTTATCATGTATACTTCTAGGAAGGTAGACTGCACCTGCCTATCTGCCCTAAAGTCCATTTTCTGCTCTTATTCTGATCTCTGAATGACCATGCACCTCATTACCTAGGCTACCTTGTCTTCTATTTCCTGGTAGGTTTGACCAGTGTGGAGCTGGGGGGCACTGGTGGAAAAATTTGACAGCAGGAGTTGGTGAGAAACACAGTGTTTCGTGTTCCCCCCCAGCTTCCTTTGGCATCTCCAACAGTGACGGAGCGTCCTCTAATCCCGGTACCCATTGGACAGTCCCCACTGTGATTTCTGCTGGCGTCTGCTGGATGACCCAACAACAGCCAATAACATCAGCTTCTCCAACCCAAAGAGTCCCAGCTACTTACTGCTGTGCTTAATCTCTGGGTTGCCTCACTGTGCCCTGTTTGGCTTCCCAGCTCTTATAGCACTTGTATAACCGATTCCCTATATTAAATTATCTCTGTTTGTTAAGACCTAGGCAGTTTTTTCTTGACTGGACCTTGACTCATAGAGTGGGACCATCATTCTGTGTGTTCTTGCACATTTTAGGAATACAATAAATGTTAATCATAGTGAAGCAAAAAGTGGGAACATTTTCCTAAGACACTTTCCTGACTCAGTTTTGTGCCTTCTGCATTGTGGTGTCAAAAGAATGTATTCCCTTGATCTCATTGATCTTTTCCATCTCTGTCAACTGTGACTTAATCATGGAAGAGATCGTTCTTGGTAAGCAAAGGTTTGTCTATTTTAATTGTTAACAGAATGAGCCTTAGTGTCATGCCATTGGTTTCCCAAACTTGCTTTGATAACGTCTACACTTGGCCTTCCTGTCACAGCCTGTCACCTATAGTCCTGTTTATATGCCAACCCTGTTCTTCACCTCCACACAAGGACTCCCACACGGGTTCTATTAGAGATGTTGGTTTCCAAGATTGGGGTATCAGCCCACCACCACTGGATTTGAGACCACCAGCTTGTTTTTCCAAACATTAATATCTCAGTGATCTCCAAACATATTTTCTGTTCCAGAATATTTTCCGAGTTTTGTAAGAATGTCTCTAAAGTTTTTTCTTTTAAAGGCGTAAGGTTAGCTTAAGGGGAGGGGCAAGGGTAATATAAATTTTAACTTGGCAGACTAGTGTTTAAAACTTTAACCAAAAAGTATTTTTCCCTTAAAAAACAACTCTCTTTACATATTTAAGTAATTCATTTGGGAGAAATTACCACTTAGACAGCCCTTGGCAGTTTCAGTTGAAAATGCTTTGAAACTAGTCAACTACAAAGCCTCAAATGTTTTTTCTTTGAAAGCTCAACTTAACCTTCTCTACCATGGTGATGAGGAAAGTGACAACTTATTTTAAAGATTCTCCCCCTTTGTTTCTTTGTCTGTCTTTTGCAGGCCATGTGTTTATACTATGGGATCTCCAGTAAACAACAGGGCCCTTTTTCCATGCCAGGAGCCACCCGTTGCCATGTCAACATGGCAGGCCACAGTCCGAGCAGCTGCATCTTTTGTTGTTTTAATGAGTGGGGAAAATTCTGCCAAGCCAACACAGCTTCGGGAAGGTACTATACATGTGTTCGGTGCTTCTTTATGTATCACACACACGCTCGACCGGGAACCCAATACGTGGTGTTTTTCGCAACTTTAAAGAGCTTCTTTATTAGTTGGGTTGGAATGAACATGCTAGAAAACATCTTGCCAGAGAAAACAGCGGGGAGGAGGAGGGGGCTTTGGGGAGCCTGGGCAGGCATGTGGGGCTCTTCATGCCAGACTTATCAATTCCTAGAGTGTTTTAGCAGTTGCTTTGACCTAGTGGTTTGTGGGCCATAAGTGGGTGGTCTTGGTTGAAGACTTTCTGGGCAGGCAAGTGTGTCACGAAAACACCATTACAGTTGAGTTGCCTGTGGTTGGGTCGTGGAGCCTGCACAGGGTGTTCATTACGCCGAGTGATAGTGCTGTTGGCTGGCCCACCAGAGCTGTCCTGGTCAGGCTCTGTTCTAAACACTGTTCGCCCACGGGAGTTCTGCACCAGAGGTGTAAAAGATGGAAGGCAAGTGCTAATGAGCCCACAAGGTTCTGTCTGGGAGTTACTTGCATATTGCAATAATTAACTTGTTCAGTGAGAGCCTGAGCATGTTGATGCCAGGTGAGATTTTTGTAATTGTAATATTTCTTCATTTAAAATATGGCACTTATAGAAACTTTAAATTTTGGAGAAATTAAAAGTAATAAAATTAAATGATTTTAGAAAAAGTGGTTGCTAACATTTTGTTGCCAGTATGTAAAACTATATGGCTGGTACGTATTAATCTATATGGATGGTATGTATTGTCATTTCAAAATTGTCGTCATAGCATATAACAGTTTTTTTACTTATGGTGTATCTTGAATGTTTCCCAGGTCATTAAGTATTTTTCAAAACTATTATTTTAAGGTCTGCATAATATTTTATTGTATGCATATATCATATTTTAACATTTTTGTACTACTAGACATTTTTATTGTTTCCAGGTTTTTTTTCCTATTATAAATAAAATTGCATTAAATTCCTGAGGAGACATTTAGTATATAATTAGAATTATTGAGCAAAAGTTTTCAGCATGTGTAAGGCTGTTGGTAGATATCCCAAGTTGTTTCCCAGAAAGGTTGTACCAATTTACAGTTGTACCAATAATACATTTTTCATACCCTTCATGGGGTCCCCATTTCCTGGGAACTTCACCCATTTGACAGGCAAGAAAAGGTGTATCTTTAACTTGGATTCCTTTGATTATCAATGAGATTTTATATGTCCCTATAGTTTTCTTAACCATCTTCATTTCCTTTCTGTTTATTTCCTTTGCCCATTTTTGTACTGAGGCTTCAGTGAAGTTTTAAAAAATTTGTTCTGTATATTAATTTGATTGGCTCTTTAAAAAATAAAGATATTAATATCATCATATTTATGAAAAGTATTTTTCCCAATTTTTAGTATGCCTTTTGATTTTATATAATGTTTCGATCTATTGTAGATTTTAATTTTTGTTTAGTCAAATCTGTCAGATTACTCTTTGAAGATCTTTCTTTCTTTGATCTGAGATTCATCTGTTTTTTAAAAAATATTTTTATTTAATTAAAAATTTTTTCATTAAGTCTTTAATCTGTTTGTAGTTTATTCTAGTCAGGATTGTGAAATGAGGACTACAAATATATATTTTTTTCAAATAGGAAACAGGTTGCTTCAAGGTCATTTATTTTGAATCTTTTCTGAGTTGTGGTATCTCCTTTATCACAAACTAGATTTACACATGTACTAGAATCTTCAGTGAGTATATACTTGATTCTCAAAATAAAAACAAAACAAATAATACATTTAAAAATTTTGGTTTTAAAAATAGGTCACATTTCTGTGGTTCATTTACAAATAAACAAAGGACAAAAAATTGCACTAAAGTCTCCTTTTTACTCCTAATTCTCAGCTGCCCAGTAACCCTTTCCTCAAGGTAACCAAAGCCACCAATTTCCTATGTATAATATATGTATAATATTTTTTTTTCTCCTTTGTTGCACAGACTGTAGTATTCTGTACATATTTTTGTATTGTACTTCACCCTTTAGAATAAATTTGTCTTACAGATAATTTCATATCTGAGCATAAAGAGCTTTCTCATTATTTTTATGACTGTAGAGTATTCCATAAATGGATCTTTTACAGTTTGTGAACCAATAGCTCTTGACTTCACTGAGTATCAAATAAGGAATTTAATGGGCATTTACTTCTATCATCTTCCCTTACCCATATTCCCCAGTTTTAATTAATACAATCGGGGTTTAGGACCCATATTATCTCTGTATTTTGTTTTTGTATTATATTTTCTATGAATTACAATTATTGTTTTATATCATGTAGTTTCAAATCATATTTGCAGTAAGTATTTAGACTGTCTTTATTCTTGAGCTTTTAAGTTTGAATCATCTCTCAGTCACCTGGGAAATGGTCTCACTTTGTTCTTTTTCTAGAAGGGTGGATGTGTGGTATATTTTATGAGCCCTCCCTATTTAGGTTGGCTTTTAGTTGTATTCACTTATGAACAATCCTTGTCTAGGTATAAAATTCTTAGGACTTCTTCTATCTCTTAACAACTATAAACATTTTCATTATCATTCCTTAGCATTTCTGAGGAAAAATCTGATATCAGTGTTTTAAAATATGTTTTTATTGATTATTTGGAGAGAGAGGAAGGGAGAGGGATAGAGAGAGAGAAACATCTATGAGACACATCCATCGGCCGCCTCCCGCATGCCCCCTACTGGGGATGGAGCCTGAAACCTGGGCATGTGCCCTGACTGGGAATCGAACCGGTGACCTCTTGGTTCATGAGTCAGTGCTCAACCTCTGAGCCACTGGTCAGGCCTCTAATATCAATTTTTTAAAAATTCTTTGAAAATATGATTTTCTTGCCTAGAGGCTCATAGAATTTCTATTTATTTATGCAATTCACAAATTTCTAGAAAGAAGCTAGCTGTGAATACCTTTGTTTTTAATCAACTTCATTAAAGTATAATTTACATGTAATAAAATGCACACAGTTTAAGCCTTATTCAATGAAGTTTGACAATTACACCAATTAGTTTAATCGGCACACCTGTGAAGATGTAGAACATTTCCTTTACCCTGGGACTCCCCTTGTGCCTTTGCCATCTCTCCTTAACTCATTCCTCCCTAGCCCCACTCCTGTCAACCACTGATCTGATTTCCGTATTTGTAGATTAGCTTTGTCTCTGCTGAAGATTCATATAAATGGCGTCATCCCATGTGTAATCCTTTGTGTCTGACTTCTTTTGCTCAGCATAACGTTTGTGAGGTTTATCCATATTGTTGTGGGAGTTAATAGTTTATTATTTTTTTAAATCGGTGAATAGTAGCCCATTATGAGTAAACCATAGTTTGTTTATTCTCTCACCTGTTGGTGGACATTTGAATTATGTTTAGCCATGATGATAAACAATGCTTTGAACATTTGTGTGCAAGTCTTTTTGAGGACATAGATTTTCATTTCTCTTGGGTAAATTCATAAGAGTGGAATTGTTGGATCATATAAGTGCATGTTTAACTTTGTAAGTATCTGTCAAACTATTTCCAAAGTGATTGTATCACTTCGTATTCCACCAGCAATAGATGAGGGTCCTGTTGCGGTGCATCCTTGCAAACACTGGTGTTGTCAGTCCTTTTAATGTTAGCCTTCCAACTGGGTGTCCAAGGCTGTCTTGTTGTGGTTTTAATTTGCTTTCTCTGATGACTAGTGATGGTGAGCCACTTTCCGTACTTATTGTGCATTCTTATATCTTCCTTTGAAAAGCATCTCTTCAAGTCATTTGCCCATTTATTTAATGTGGGGGTTTTGGTTGTTTTATTATTAGGTTGTAAGAATGCTTTGTGTATTCTAGGTACAAACCTTTTATCAGATATATGTATTTCAAATATATCCCCTCAGTCTGTGTAGCTTGCCTTTTCATTTTTTATTCACACTCTATACCACTGATTTTCCATGGAAACGTTTTGTTCCTTATTAATTCCATTATAGATTTAAATTGTTAGTTTCCTTACAATCATTCCTTATCTTTTTGACTTGTCTTTGTTATCTTTTGAACTCACTCTGTTATACTGTTTCAGCCTGTTGTCTTCTCACACTTTTTACTATTTTTTCATAGAAGTTGTATCTTCTTGTAGCATAATAGGAATGCCAGTTTCCTAAACTGGTTTCTACAGTAAATTGATTTCTGAGGCTTGTTCTTCTGAGTCCTTAGAATGATATTTTCTTTTACCTTTATTTTGCAGTGTTTCTTCCCCTGGTGCTCATGGCTTTCCTCGCTGGTGTGTCCCAGCAGACAGGATGCCGCCTGTGAATTTCCCTTCGCTCCATTCACTGTCCACATGTGTCCTGTCTGAAAGCTGCCCTCTGTTCAGCAGTTGAGGTTAGTGGGCGCACAGCCTCTCCATCCAGGCGCAGTGTCTGGTTGGCAGTTGTCTAGTGAAGCTCTGGTGGATTCACACAACCTCTTTCTCCACCCTCCCTCCTTGGTTCCCTGCCATGCTGAAATTGATTATCGGAAACACTACAGTGTCAGGCGACCCCGACACCTGGACACCTCCAGCCTCCGTTTCTGCGCTTTGTGGTAGCCACACCTCCACCATGCCGTGTGGCTCTCCCTGCCCCATCTCACCAGGCCTGCATACTTTCCATTCACAGTTTGGTCCCGCAATTCAGACGGAAAGGCTTGTTTTTGGCTGTGTGTCTCAGACTCGAGCATTATTTTTCTATTTAGAGGGAAGAAAAATCATGTCCACCAGGGTTGGCTGAAATTACTTGTATTAGAATGATATCTTAAAACTATGAGTGTTAAGACTAGATATAAACTTTGTATGCTTATAATTCTTACAGATCTATAAAGCCAAAATAAAATTATAAATTAGGCACAGATTAAATTATTAAATCATTAAACTTCAAATGAACAACATAAGTTGAATGCAAAGGTTAATATTTTGTTGAAACGTATTTGTCCCTCACAGCGTGGACGTGCT